GTTCCCTTTGTGCTACATGAACGAACGTTTGTAACCATGCTCAGTTCTAATAGATAAGTGTGCATTAAAGCTGTCCTTCACCTAGCTTGTTGGGACCAAAAGGTTCTTTTCAGATGAAAACTGCACTACATACTTATATATTGCGTGGTACAAGCTCCAACTCGGTTTTACAGTGAAAACAGCAGGAACTTCAACCCGGCACTAGGAAACAGACTGAGAAACCACAGTAAGTGCTTCTCCTGCAACCCGATTCCTTTGTGCTAGATGAACGAAATTCTCTCCACGTACTCAGTTCTGAAAGATAAATGTTTGAGAAAGCTGTCCTTCAAATTGCTTGTTGGGAACACATACTTTCTTTTCTGATTGAAAATACACTACATAAATATATATGGGGCTATACTAGCTCCAAATTGGTTTCAAAGTGAAAACTGCTGGAATTTCCAGCCAGCACTAGGAAACAAGCTGAGAAACCAGAGTAAGTGTTACTATGGCAAACCATTCTATTTGTGCTTGATGAATGAAAGCCTAACCACATACTCATTTCTCAGAGAAAATTGTGTGTGAAAACCACACTTCAACCGTCTTGTTGGGAACACAAAATTTCTTTTCAGTTGGATACGAAACTACATACATACATAAGGGGAGATACTAGTTCCAACTCGGTTCTACAGTAAAAACTGCAGGAAGTTCAAACCAGCTACAGGAAACAAGCCGACAGACCAGAGAAAGTGTTTCTCCTGCAAACCATTCCTTTTGTGCTTGATTAAAAAAAGTCTCTCCACATGCTCAGTTCTCAGAGACATATGTGTGTGAAATCTGTCCTTCACATAGCAAGTTGGTAAAACAAAGTTTCTTTTCAGTTGGAACCTACACTACATTCATATGTATGGGGAGGTTCTAGCTCCAACTCGAATTTACAGCGAAAAGAGCAGGAAATTCCAGCCGGCACTAGGAAACAGGCTGAGGAACCAGAGTAACTGTTTCTCAGGGAACCCGTTCCATTTGTGATAGATGAATGAGTGTCTATCCTCATGTTAAGTTCAGAAAGATATGTCTGTGTAAAGGCCGTACTTCACTGAGCTTGTAGGGAAAACAAAGTTTCTTTTCATTAGTTATCTAAACTACATACATATATAAGGGGACGTACTAGCTCCAAAACGTTTTTTCTGTGAAAACTAAAGGAACTTCAAACTGGCACTAGGAATCAGTTTGAGAAAACAGAGAAAGTGTTTCCCCTGCAACATGATCCCTTGGTGCTAGATGAACGAACGTCTCTCCACATGCTCAGTTCTGACAGATAAATTTGTTTGAAAGCCGACCTTCACCAAGCTTGTGGGGAACACAAAGTTTCTTTTGAGTTGGTAACCACCCATCATACATATATATGTTTAGGAACATGCTCCAACACAATTTGACATTGAAAACTGCAGTAAATTCAAAACCGGTACAAGGAAACACGCTGAGAAATCAGAGTAAGTGTTTCCCCTGCACCCATTCCCCTTACGCAAGATAAATGAACGTATCTCCTCATTCTCATTTCTCACAAATAATTATGCATGAAAGCCTTCCTTCAACTAGCTTGTTGGGAACACAAAGTTTCTTTTAAGTTGGTAATTTCACAACATAAGTATATATGGCGAGGTACTAACTCTAACTTGATTTAACAGTGAAAACTGCTGGAACTTCAAAACTGCACTAGGAAACAGGCTGAGAAAGCAGTGTAAGCATTTCTCCTGCAACATGTTCCCTTTGTGCAAGATGAAAGAAAGTTTATCCACATACTCAGTTCTGATAAATAATTGTGTGTGAAAGCCGTCCTTCGCCTAGCTTCTTGGGAACACAAAGTTTCTTTTCAGTTGGAAACTACACTACATACATACATAAGATTTGGTTC